AATCCTCTCAAGAGAATGTATCTTTTATCTTTCTGCTTGAAAACCTCTATGGCTTCTCAACTCACTTGGAATAAAATCCAAAGAATTCTCCAAGACGGTGACATCGTAGGTGGCTTGGTTTAGACAATAAGTTGATGGTCACAAGCAAATCTAGTAGTGAAGTACCGGGGTGACTCAGCAGCCCCCATGAGCAAAGCAGCGTCCCCCAGTGGGGAGCAGGACTGAGGAAGGGGCAAAGGTAAGGAACTGGATGGCCCAGCATTGGCAATAACCAGAGGCAGAGTCTCCACAGCTCAGTTTCAGGACTGAGAAAGCCAGGACTACAGAGATAGCCTTCAGAAGTCCCTAGACTTTCTGGCTTTAGAAAAGACCTTATTAATAGATATTTGGAGACTGGAGATATGTCTCAATATTTACAATATTTTCATCTTTCAATTGGTTTTTTGGACCATAGCTCCATCATAAGTTAAGGAGCATCTGTAAAGCTAAATAAAGCCAAGATGTGGGGAGAGAGACCCATCCCATCGACATGCTTGAACTTTTATATTCATCTGTGTGTGAGGACAGCTCCAACCCTTTACTCAGTTCCATGATCCAATAAATCCCCCTTTGTGGCTTTGTGGTTGACTTGAGTTAGGTTTCTGTCATCCCAAAAATCCTGACTGACAGTTCTGTTCAGCATCCTCTCCACACAATCCTGCAGTCCTTGAAGCTGGAGTCACTTGACCTGTTTTGTAACTGCATCACTATTTCCAACTACAGATATGAACTTGATTGGGACTCTGAGAAGCTGATCAGCCTCTTGTCTTATTTCCCCTGTGGCCAGCCCTTGCCTTGTACCTAGCTTCAATAGCTGAGGCTCTGTCTTCCTTTCTTAACCTGGCTCTTTGCCATTTCAGCCCAGGTAGGGTCAATTAACCAGAGCCCATCACCTGCTGCTGTCTCATGAACAGTTCTTAGGCCTATCAGGACTTCCACTTGTGGGCCACATGGTCCTGTTTGATGCAAACTACCTTCCCAAATCTCTATGCACCATGGCTCTACCCATTTCAGAAATGGCTGAATCATGGTTCCACCAACTCAAGACCTCACAGGCAGCTCAAGGTAGCATTTCCAAGCTGCTCAGTGACATGTTAATAGCTGTTCTCTTAACAAAGATGAGCTGGGTGCTGGTGGCTCACACCTGTAATCCTAGCTACTTGAGAAACTGAGATGAGGAGGATCACGGTTCAAGGCCAGCCTGGGCAAATAGTTCTCGAGACCCCATCTCCAGAATAACCAAAACAAAATGGACTGGATTTGTGGCTCAAGTGGTAGAGCACCTGCTTTACAAATGTGAAACCCTGAGTTCAAACCCCAGTTCCACACAAAAAAAAAAAGATGAAAAGCAAATCTAGTAATATTTCTCTTCAATTTTATGTTTAAAATATAAATAGGGCCAGGTGACATTGGCTTACACCTGTAATCCTAGCTACTCAGGAGGCAGAGATCAGGAGGATTGTGGTTTGAAGCCAGCCTGGGGAAATAGCTCTTGAGACCCTATCTCAAAAATACCCCCCACAAAAGGGGTTGGCAAAATGGCTCAAGTGATAGAGCACCTGCCTAGCAAGCTTGAAGCCGTGAGTTCAAACCCCAGTACTGCAAAAATATATATGTATGTGTGTGTACATATATACATATACATGTATGTACATATATGTAGCAAATAGGCATTTTTGTATGGGAGTTATCTTCTGAAGTGAACACTTAAGAATCATATCAGGTCAAATTTACTTTTGGTGAACCATTAAATCCCACAAAGCATAATAGAAAGACTTGACTTTCTACCTTCCAATGGAGCCACTGGAGCCAATTTTTCTCCAGCTCTGGAACAAGATGCTGTTTTTCCAGTTTTGCTCCAGATGAAGGTAAAGGTAAATTGGCTTATTTTAGGAGCAGTGTTGGATGAAAATCTGTATTTAAACTGACAGGTAGAGTGTTAAGATGCTTATTCTGAGAAGCAGAGGAGCGGGGAATGACAGTGGGAACTCCAGACTCAAGGTCCCACCCCGTGTTTATTCCAGGAAACATAGTTACTGAATCATTGCACTATTGCAATTGTTTGCTGTCTCTCCATGCCCTCGTGGAGTCTGTACATCTGAATTTAAGGAGTTCAACACATGTAAGGTATGATTGCACTTTATGACAGAAAAATAGTTATTATTATAAGGTGTTCTTGTAATTATTTGTTCTTACAGACACAATATTCTGCTTTTTAGAAAGAGTGTGCTGCCAGGCACCAGTGGCTCATGCCTGTAATCCTAGCTACTTGAGAGGCTAAGATCAGAAGGATTGTAGTTTGAGGACAACCCAAGCAAATAGTTCACAAGATCCCATCTCCAAAATAAACAGAACAATATGGACTGGAGGTGTGGCTCAAGCAGTAGAGCAACTGCTTTACAAATGTGAAGCTCTGAGTTCAAATCCCAGCCCCACCAAAGAAAGGAAGGAAGGAAGAAAGGGTGTGGTGAACCCAAGAATGACAGGAAGTTACATCACCTGCTACATGAAATTATGACACATATAATCTATACATGGATGCAAAGGGAGCATTTGCTAATTATGTTCTTTGCCGTTGGTCCTATGCTCACTGTAACATGACATCTAACAACTTATTTTACACTTCAAATATGTTTTTATTCAAGAATTGTTGAATAGTAAACTTTAATATGTACGAAATAATGATAATTCTAATAGTATAATTATTAATACGAACTAATGCTTAATAAGGGCTTGCTAGGTACCCTATATTTCTCTAATTAGCTCACTTAATGGCCCTGACAATGGTTATCCCCATTTTATAGAGCAGAAAACCAAGACTCAAAGAGGTGAAGGATTTTTGAATCCACATTTCTGGATCTCAAGCTCAAGCTTGGTTGTGGTCACTTTCAGACTCAAAGGAGATTTTTTATAATGATACACACTATATTCACAAATTTTTTTTTAAAAGCTTCCAATTATGATGCTCTTTTTTCATGCCAGTCAATATGGTAAGGGATTTTCATACCTTTTCTTCTTTACTTATCAAAACAATTATTAACAATTATTATTTTTATTAATAAAATCTGAGGCCTGGACAGGTTAAGTGACTTGGCCAAAGAAACGTAGCCAGGATTATAAAAAGTTGCTCTATCTCTTTTTTTTGTTTCCATAACCAGCATTCAAACTCAGGGCCTTGCAGTTGGAAGGCTGGTTCTCTACCCCCTGAGCCACTCCACCAGCCTGCTCTCTCCCTATATAGACACGTTAGCATCAGCATGACAACCACCACCAAAGAGAAGAAGGACTTTTGCTATCAGGAAAATGCGAATCAAACCCACAATGACAGTCCCCTTCATATAATCAAAAAGCCACAGTAAGCCGGGCACCAGTGGCTTATGCCTATAAATTCTAGCTATTTGGGAGGCTGAGATCAGGAGGATTGCAGTTTTAAGCCAGCCCAGGCAAATAGTTCGAGAGATCCCATTTCCAAAATAACCAGAGCAAAATGGACTGGAGGTGTGACTTAAGTGGCAGAGTATCTGCATTGCAAATGGGAAGCTCTGAGTTCAAACCCCAGTCCCACCAAAAAAAAAAAAAAAAAAGCCACAATAATAAGTGTTGGTGAAGATATGGAGAGACTGGAACCCTCATACTCTGCTGGTGGAAATGGAAAAAAGTGCACTACTGAGGAAAACAGCCCAGCAGTTCCTCAAAAGGTGAAATACAGTTACCATATACCCCAGCGATTCCCCTCCTAGGTACATTCAAGGGAAATGAATGTTATGTCCACACAAAACCTTGCACACGAATTACTCAACGATAGCTCCAAAGAGGAACAACCCCAATGTCTACTGACAGGACCAGTGGTGTGGCTCAAATGGTAGAACGCCTGCCTAGCAAGTGCAAGTTCCTGAGTTCAAACCACATTACCACCGAAAAAAATTTAAAAATACAAAGCAACAACAAAAAAAACCCAAATAAAGCCCTAACAGATGGATAAATAGAGCAGTCTATCCATACAGTGGGCTATTATTAGTCATTATAAAAGTATAAAGCACTGATATAAGCTCCAACATGAATGAGCCAATGTTTTAATGAAACATGCTGAAAAAAAGGACAGTCACAAAGGACCACATGTTGTATGATCACATGTATTGCAATATCCATAATAGATAAACCCATAGAGACAGAAAGTGGATTAGTGGGTACCTGTTGCTGAGGGAGTAGGGAGGTTGAGGATGATAGTTAAGATGTATAGAATTCTATTTTTTTTTTTTTTACAGTATTGGGTATTGGGATTTGAACTGCTTTACCACTAGTGCCATACCCCTAGCCTAGCCTTTTCTTTTTGGTTTAGTTATTTTTCAGATAAGGCCTCATGTTGTATGCCCAGGACCAGCCTTGGACTACAGTCTTCCCATTTCCACCTCCCAAGTGTCTGGGATTATAGGTATTAGCCACCATTAGCTGGGATTCTTTTTGGGTTGATGCAAATATTCTAATGTTAATTATAGGAATGAATGCACAACTCTGTGAACCACACTAAAAGCCACCTTAAATGGGGAAATTGTATGAATTATATCTCAATTAGCTTTTGGGAACAAATAAGTGTGTGTGTGGGACTCTAACTGACATTGACAAGCCTGGTCCCTCATAAGCTGACGACTCGGATACCTGCATTATCACCAGGCGCGCTCTGAGCTCCTGGCCTCCTCCCTGGAAAGTTGGGGTGTTGCCCTGAGGTTCCCACCTTCCCCTGGCGTGCCTTGCCCTGCTCACCCTGGCAGGCTTCACTGGAGGAATTATGCCATGGCATTCTTCTGCTGCAGCAAGGGGCTGCTTCCTCCTAGCCTGCCAGGGACAGGGCTTCTCTGACTTGAAGGCCACATAGAATTCAGGATATGTCACTGAAGCCACACCCTGGAGTTTTCTGTGCTGCTCAGCACTGCAGATATCTGTGTGCCCCACACCCCACTTACCTAACGTAGGAAAAGACGATCACATGCAAGACCCACTTAATGCTTCCATAATTTGTGCTCTGGATCCGGGTGACTTTGTTCGTCTCATACTGGAAAATCTCATTCCAGCTGCAGCAGGCTGGCATGGCTGAGAGGCTCACTCCCTGCTCAGGGCTGGACCTGGGCTGGACTTTCTCAGACTAGATAGGTGGCAGCAGGTCCCCCACCCAGGAACAGCAAAATGAAATGTACTGATTCTTAGCAGGAGCCTTTAATTTTGATTTCCTCCAATGACTGCAGTGGGGGCGGGCCCTGGCAACTGCCCCAGATGTGACTGGCATAAACAAGAAGAACCAAGTCCTACAGGCCTGCCTGGCAGATGACCCCACCCCCGCTGGCCTCCCCCAGACGCCTGCACAAAGATGGTGTTCAGAGAACAGGCATATTTAAAATTCTCCCTTTCCCCCCTTTCCTTTTGCCTTTTTGAACTCATTTCATTTGAGAGAAAGGGGTAGCACTTCAAATGTCACAAGACCCAGTACTTCCCACTGTGACTCAGAAAAGGGTCTAGATCTTTCCATTGCCTCAAGCCCTACTCAAAGATTGGCTAATTCATTTCTCCAGCCCTTTACTTAGCCCCAGATGTACAGGAAAGTCACCCCATCTCCTTCCCCCACCCCTGACCATACCCTGGTGTGCAGATGATGGAGGAAATCAGATTTGTTGTGGGGTATGGAAGGCTTTATTTCTATGCCGAATCCTTTCTGCTTGACTCTCTAGATTCTACCCTGCTCTGTGCCTGAGAGGTCGACCCATGATTTAGCTCAGTCAGTCCCAGAGCACCAAAAGCAAAGTCAACGAGGGAGACCACTCAGTAGAGGAACCCTGAACCCCACTAAACATGGGAAGAGATGGGGTCATTGTAAGATTCAAGAAAGGTGGTTTAGATGAAATCTAAATGTTTCAATAGGCTCAAAAGAAAGCAGGTTTGTGTAAAACAGTCAACTTCAAATACGGATTGCAAAGGGGGCCCAGGCCCTGTTTCCTCAGAAGCAATAAAGACAAGATTGATGTTAAATGTTCTGTCCGGAATCCCTTTATCTGAAGCTGTGCACCCCAGTTTCACAATTGGACTGCTTCTCTGAGTTACAGTGAACTAGACCCTCCAGGCAAAAGTGGACTGTTTCATTCTTAGTGAAATAATTGCAAAAGGGGGAGTTTTTGATAGTCTGTGATTTTGGAGGGCAGTGTTTCTCAGAAAGAAAGTAACGGTCACCCAAAGATGGAGCAGAGTTAATTACTACTCGGCAGCTAAGGAGAAATATTGTTCCCCTGTTACCTTTGCAACTGAATTTATCCATTTCTGTTATTCCTGCCTGGTAAGTGGCCCAGGCAGATTTTTACTTTTCCAGACTGAGCTATTTGTTCTTTCTTATCCATATGAGCTGCATCCAGTTCAGGAGACTGGAGAGAGTGAGGTTGGAGGTGAGGAGATCAGTCTCCTGACCCCTCCCTGCTCAGGTGCTTATTGGTGCCACTCTCTCCTTCAGGCCTGGGGTTGTAAGGGCTCCTCACCTTTGCCAGCCCCAGGCAACTCTGTTAACTCTGCCCATACCTTTGTAACTGGTCCTATCATTAGTTACGCTGTTTGAGTACATCTTGGCTTTTCTGCTAGGTCTTTGAGTGATACAACAATCTTCATATATAAAAAGTGGAAGTGGACAGGACTCCACTTAGGGCAGTAAAGTCTGATGGAACTAGACAGCTAGTTGCCTGGCTTCCAATCCTGGCTTTACATCATAACAACCCTGTGACTTTGGACAGCAACCTTCATTCATTCATTCATTTATTCCCAAGAGCACCAGAAACTAGTAGATACAGCAGTGAACAGACAGACAAGTCAAATGTCCATCCATTGCTGAATGGATCAACAAAATGTGGTTCACCTATACAGTGGAATGTTATTCAGCCATGAAAAGGAAGGAAGCACTGACACATGCCAAACATGGCTGAGCCTTGAAAACGGTATCCTAAGTCAAAGAATCCAGACACAAAAGGGCCACATCTCATGATTCTGTGTATTGGAAATGTCCAGAACTAACAGATCACTTCGTATTGCCCTTGCCACCATCCATCGTCCTCTAGTGACCTCTTGTACTGATCCTTCATGTTCTTTCTTTGCTTCTTTAGCCCTCTCTCCACTATTTCACCACCACCAGCACTCCATGGGTGCTGTTCTCAAGCAAGGCTACCCATGACTTCTCAGTTGCCGGATTTAGTGGATTTATTTTATTCCTTATTTTGCTTCACCTCTGGGATTCATTCAGTGCCATCAGACAACCTCTACTTTCTGTAGCATTTTTTCTCCTTTATTTCTATGACATTCCTGGGTCCCATGTCTTTTTGGTTTTTCATTTTGACCTCTACAACTCCGTCTTATCTTTCTATGGCTCTACCAGTCAAGGCAGGAGATTATGCTGCAATAACAAGGCACCCTCAAAATCTCAGATCTCATGTCTTAAAACAATGATTTATTCTTCATTTTCCCTACATGTTTATCATGGGTCACTCAGAAGGCTCTGCTCACTGCAGTCATTCAGAGACCAAGGTTAATGGCACAGCCACTGTCTTGAGCTCTTGAATGAGAACTCACAGTAGCAGTTAAGTGTTGTGACCTAGAAACTTTGCATTCACTGCTTCTTGTAACTCATTGGCCAAAATTAGTTACTTGGTCCTTCCAGGAAAAGCAATCTCACCATATGTCCCCTCATGTATCCAGACACAAAAGCAGACATATTTGTTGAACAGCACTAATGACTATTGAGTCTTTGCCCTGGGAAATTTCACCTGGACATACTGTTTTAAGAATCACCAAATGCTAAAAAAGTAAAGGTAAGGGAGGAGGGGCATTTGTGGATATGTTTAATTATGCATGGAATATGGCTAAAAACGGGACCTACTACATAATTTGTGAGGCCCAGTACAAATGAAAATGTGAGGCCCTTATTTAAAAATCAAGAATTTCAAGATGGCAGCAACAAAGCATTAACTCAAGCTCAGTTCTCTTTTAAGCATGTAACTGCACACATCCTAAGCCCACGAAACTGACACATCTGAAAGGTGTTTCTGGGAAGGAGCTTGGGGAATTAGTGTTTGTCACAAAATGTTATCAAGCAGTCCTATCCTTCCTGGATTCCAAGGGAGAATGACTCAGAGTAAAGACAGATACAAAATGATGGCAGAGATGCCAAGTACCTTTTCCTGTCTCTTTCTTTGTGAAGTAGGAAGCCAGGTTGCAAATCGAACAGGGGTTGGGGACTTTGAAAGGTGACTTTCTTAGACAAGGTGTGTTTTTTTCTTTTGTTGTTGTTGTTGTTGTTTGTGGCACTGGAGTTTGAACTCAGGGCCTCACACTTGCTAAGCAGGCACTCTTTATGCTTGAGCCACTCCACCAGCTCTGTGATGTGTGTGTTATAAGGCATTCTTCTGCAGAAAAGGGAGGGTGTTTTGGTTTTGTTTTGTTTTTTAAAAAAACACTTATCTTAGCTCTAAGTGCAGGAAATGTGACCCAACCTCGAGAGAACCTATTAATAGAATCAAAAACTAAACTGTCCTGCCCTGATGTTACTCTTTCCCTTTGTCTGAAACTTCCTGGTTCTGTCTCTGTCTGTCTGGAAACATGCTCTGTGTGTCTGTAAACACTGACTTTCTCTGTTTTTCAGAGGGCATGACCCAACTAGGCTGTCAAAGTTAGGTTCCACAGTTCAAGTGCAAGCCCAGACCAACTGCCCAATTTTGGAAACCAGAGGGAAGCTGGGCGCCCTAGTGGCTCATGCCTGTAATCCTAGCTACACAGGAGGCAGAGATCAGGAGGATCGCGGTTTGAAGTCAGCCTGGGCAAATAGTTTTCGAGACCCTATCTCGAAAAAAACCCTTCACAAAAATAGGGCTGGTGGAGTGGCTCAAGGTGACACACATGAGTTCAAGCCCCAATACTGCAAAAAAGAAAAAGAAACCAAAGGGAATGAATGGGATTGTGTAGCTATTGTCTTTGGTCAAATCAGATATAGCTATGGGTGGGGACACAGAACAGACTTGGACTCTGGGGCTGCCCTCCAAGAAGAAGGAGAAGGAAGGAAAAGAGGAAGAGAAAGGGTGTGGCTTTCAGAGACCGGTGACTCCTAGGCTGTGGGGATGCTGATTAAATATACCAATTCCTCTCTCTCAGGTGGGACAACTCTGAGTCCTGACCAGGCTGTCTCCCAGAAGCCCCCAGTGAGATTGAACTGAGATGCCCACCAGCAGTGACCTACCCTTTAATGCTTCCTGTATTGGCTTCTTTCCCTTCCCTGTCTCACTTCCCTACCCCCTTCCTGGAGTCACTTCTCAAATAAACTCCTGGCACCCAAATCCTTGGTAGTGATGAGGGGTACCCAACCTCATTCAGCCTTATGTGTATTAAAGAATCTGGAATGAAAGGAGAGGGCACAAGAGCTGCTGGAGTCACAGGGGAAGGAAGGAAGGGTGTCAGCACCCAGATTAAGCAGAGTACCCGGAGGGGAGGAAGAGCAGAAGGTGCACCCAGAGACCACTGCAAGAGCACTGCATGAATAAACCAAGGCTACGGGAGAGCTCAAGAATGATGACAGAGCTGAGTCATTAAGGCACAGTAAGGCAATGACAGATAAATTGATGGAACAGGATAGAGTCAAGTGTTAAACACAGACAATTGGAAATTAAGTACATGATAAAAGCATTTAAAATCAGGGCAGAAAGAAATTACTCCAAATAGGATCTGGGAATGACTGGCTAGCCACATGGGAGAGGTGGATGTGGGAGAGGGGTGTAGGACTCAAACTCGTCAGATTTGAAAAGATACGTAACTTTTGGAAATGTGGTAGGACCACCAGATGTTAGCTGAATCAGCTATACCAAATGGGACAAGGTGCAAGTCACCTTTCTGTTTGGGTGTTTGGGGTGCACACATTTTGCATTTAAGGCAGAAAAATGGAAATAAAGATACCAGGAAATCCTTGGTACTGGGGTTTAGAACTTAGGACCTTGTGCTTGCTAGGCAGGGGCTCTACAATTTGAGCCAATTACTTCACCAGCTCTTTTTGCTTGTTATTTTTCCAGAAGACCTTGTGTTTATGCCCATACCAGCATCTACTGTGATTCTATTTATGCTTCCCCTGCAGCTGGGATGACAGGTAAG